TGATGGACATGTTGGCACGGTCAACCGGGCGCAACAAAGAGAGGAAGGTGTTGTTGTTTTTTCACGCAGGCGGTGGTTAGCGGCAGTGGAGTCAGGAAGGGGCAGGGCAGTGTGCCCCGGTGCTCAGTTCCTCTGTTATTTATCCCATTGTGTTTTCTTTTTCTTTTCCCCTGCACAACACGAAGTCCAGCTCAGGCCGTCATAGCACGCTCGGTCAAACCTTGATGCCCAGGCCTTCAGTTTGGACCCTGCTACCTTTTAGAAACACTTCCACAACACGAGTTATTTAACCAGCAGGATGTACAAGCATGCTCTCCTCACGTTTCATTTCATTCTAGCATGAAGGAGTCAGATTCTCTGAGAGACACACCCATCACATCAGACACTGAGGCTCATTTTCATGAGTGGCTTCGACATGCACAAGAGGCATCAGCAGGGCCTGCTCTCTCTCCAATAACTTGAATATCATTAGATATTAGGGAAAAGGGGCGTGCGAGTGACTGAGTACAGGCTGATGCAGGTTTGCACACGCCGGTGCAGCTGCTGCTCTCTGAACACAACATAGACTCCCTGATGAACACAGCCTGCCAACACTGCAYGTCATTAGCATGCAGGATGCTTGCACACTCCCTGACAGGCAACCTGTGAATAAAGAAGGCAACAAGAACCTCATTAATGGACCATAATTGTACACGCAGACATGGTGGGTCAAATTTCATCCTTACTGAATGCTCTGATGTAAGTGTAGATAATAAATCTGTTTTTTGGGGGGCAGCTAATAGTAAAATATATATGTATATACAGTATATATAAATGGTTGTCTCTTGGGTTTGTTTTCTCCAGAGAGGTGTTCAGTCTGAAACCTGACATCAAAGGCAGACCAGCCAGTTCCCGTCACCTTCAGCGTTCAGCTCTGGTGGCATGATTCAGTAAATAATGCATGTAGCTACTGATCACGTTGGACGGCCATAGGACTCCAACGCCCTGGTGATTGTTTATATCTGCATTGATCCCTGCACGTCTCTATACTCCTTTATTTGTGTTCACCTGCATGAGTCTGCATTTCCTTTAGCTGGACGAGCCGGTGCCCTGATTCCATTTCCTCTGTGCTGAGAAGTGGGGTGTTGTATGAAGATGGTGGTCTTCAAGGTCATTTTTCATCTGGAATGTAGGTGATAGTTTACCCCACCTGCTCAAATGAGTGCCCCACCCAGGTCATTACTGTATTGAATTTCATTGTGCTGATTTCCTGTTAATGGTTTCCCTGTGGCAACAGAGAGATGTTTCCTCCCTCTAGTGGTTGTGCTGAAAAAAAGGGCACCAAGAACATGTGAAGTGAAATGAGTCAAACTGTAACTAAAGTAACCCAGTTACTTCATGAAAGACTCAGGTTTGTAAAAACACAACTTCAATCTTGTAGGAAACATGAATCATATGGAGCTTGTCTTGAGATGTTGGATAAAAAAGTGTTACTATCTTGTGGCCGCCTATTACTTTCTCATAGGGGTGTCCCGATACTAGTATTTCTCAAAAGCCTTCAAATACTTCAGTTGGGTACTCAAAGTAACCGAGTACCAACACTGAGTACTTATACCGAGATAGTTAACATTACACAATGACATTAAAAACACATTTCTTTTATTTAGAACAAGGTGTTTCTCCTGCTATAGAGGCCTACAGCCCCTCTGACTGGATCAGATCAAATATACAGCAGGATATTTACTGTTACAACATTTTAATATCCGTAAAATAAGATTTTCTTTAAATTTGTTTAAATTTCTTAAACATGGAACTGACAAATATTCCACTTGAAATGTAAACTGTAACATACACTCACCGGCCACTTTATTAGGTACACCATGCTAGTAACGGGTTGGACCCTCTTTTGCCTTCAGAAC